TCTACTTTTCTAAATGTAATTTTATTTCAGTAAACAGATTTTTTTTTTTCAATTCTAGTTTTTGCTTTTTTGTAGTTTTCGTTCATTTCGTTAATTATAATAAACTTGGCTAAAATGTTATTACAAATATTTTTTGTTATAAAACTCAATTTTACAAATATTTTAAATGACTTTACAAGTCATTATTCAGTTCTAAACTTCTAAAGCCCCCCCAAAAATTGTTCACAGTCAAACCTGACCACACTAGCACTAAATGTGGAACTAACTGAATCTAGCAGAAGCATTTGCACCCAAACTAAATCTTACAGAAAGTTTATTTTGTTTGAAATATCAAACTCAAAAATGAAACACAACTTTTTTCAGATTTATGGCTTCGATTTTAGAGCAAACGTATTTTGCTAAACGTGAAATTTGAATAATTAATTGCATTTAAGTTCCAAAATGTTAACTTTTTTCATTACAATGCTAAGTATTTCAGTTTTATGCATTCAGAAATAACATTAAACGTTTGGTCTGCTTTTTAGTTTAACATAATTCCAGAACCATCTAAACTGAATCAACGTATCCTAAACATCATTATAAATTATTTATCACGCAATAAAAAAGCTCAAATATTTGTGTTGTAATGATGTGGCAGCAAAGCCTTCTGACCCCCCAAAATAAACACAGAACCTGAGAACAATGATCAATCACATGTGTTAATTAGAGACACATTCTAGACACTGTTAACACATATCTCGTTAATTGGGAGAAGTGTTAAAAAGCTCCAGTCACCAATCCATTCATCGCATTGAGAAACACCACAAATGCATCTTCTGCAACTCGTCATTCTTGTTGTCAAAAGATCTCCACTCGCGCTTCTTTAAAAAGTTATTTCCTGACATTATTAGTTCTGTTTAGTCAGTTTTTGTTTAAATCAACCATCTGACTTGGACTAAATATTACTGTTGCTATTGTGTGATAGTTGCTGTTTTGCGATAGCTGCTTAAAATCCTTTCCAAAATAATCTTGCTTGATTGGTGGAAAAGCGATTTCTAAACAATGGTATGGCGATGAAAGAAATATCCATGAACAAACCTGAACCGTGATGCTTAATGTTTATCATCGTTGGGCATGCTGGAGTGGAAAAATGACTTGCGCTAACAATAGCCAGCCGGAGAATTACACTGAAGACGAGGAAACAATGGGATACGGATGCCAGTAGAGACGAAAAAGTTCCATCAAAGGCCTGTGACATCATCGAGGGTCGCTGAGTGCTGTGTGACATCATCGAGGGTCACAGATTTAGTCATACAGAAGATGTTGACTCATTGGCTCTTCCACAGTGGCTGCTTCACAGGGCTTTTATTGCCGTCAGCCGCCAAAGACAGAATCACTGTCCACATCCAAACGGAGCTGCTACAACAGGCGCATTGTGGAGCTGGTGAGCATGCGGAAGTGGTTGTTTGTTGTGGTAGGTCACAAATTAACAAGGGTTTAAAGGATCAGAGGAGCAGCTTTCTGTTCAGTCAGAGATATAATGAGTCTGGCCTCGGGGGGGTTCGTAGTTGTGAAGTGACATAGTGTCTCTCAATGGAAAATTTGAAAAATTGGGGCTAAATCTTTAGAAAAAGCTGTCATCCATTCATAGAGATCATATTTAATTCTGTAAACGACAGAGAAGCTCAATAGTGCAAAGTTTCATAGATCAAAAACAGGTTTAGAAAAGCTGAAGGAATCAAAATAGAAAGGAAGATAAAAAACACAGCATTCAGCTGAAGCTTCTTTTGTGTTCTTCCGACCAAACTTTCATCCCATTTGCCATCTTTAGTTATCCTTCTTTTCAAATGTGAAATACCTTTTCTTGAAACACAATCGCATCTTACAATGCGGCGACTCATTTGAAACTCTTGTGGATCTCTTGTACCAGGACCTAAGAAGGTTTTCTGCCAGGCACTATTTTGATAAATTCATATATTTTTTGTGACAGAAAAAAAAAATTGTTAAAATAGAATTCATTTGAAATTGGTTTCTCAAAATTTCAACATGACCATCTTAAAGAGTCCATTTTAACTTGTCAACATTAATTTAGTGAAGCACCAAACTGTCGCATTTTTTTGTGAAGCACCAATGGTCGCATTTTTTCGTGTTGCCAATATCCTTATGTTTATATAGTTTCTATTGGTGTGTGTGTGTGTGTGTGTGTGGTGTGTGTGTGTGTGTGTGTGTGTGTGTGTGTGTGTGTGTGTGTGTGTGTGTGTGTGTGTGTGTGTGTGTAATATTTCTATGCTTATAACCACCTCCGAGCATAGTGGGGGTCGTGAGCCACTGGAGTTTTTATTTTAGGGGTCATGGGCTGAAAATTTTGAATACCCCTGATTTAAATTACCATACTGCATTTTAAAGTTTTTATTACAACAAACATTTGATTGTTTTTGTTTTTTTTCTTTCATAGCGAACACAGTGTTGTGCATGAAAATAAGTATTTAACAGTGTCACTATAGCTACTCTAGCTGATATAATGTTTGGTCACACTTTACAATAAGGTTCATTAGTTAATGTTAAGTAATGCATTTACTAACATGAACAAACAATGAACAATATATTTACTACAGTGTTTATTCATGTTAATAAACGTTAGTGAATGAAAATACAGTTGTTTATTGTTTGTTCATGTTAACTCATGGTGCATTAACTAATGTTAACAAGCATGGACTTGAATGTTAATAATGCATTAGTAAATGTTCAATTATGATTATTAAATGCTGTACAAGTGTTGTTCATGATTAGTTCATATTAAATGAATTAACTAATTAACCTTATTGTAAAGTGTTACCTAATGTTGAATATAATGCAAGAGTGAATCTAATGATTACAAATGTCTCATTTTATCAGTCTAATAATATTCTCAATGACAAATGACAAGCATTTGTTTCAAACATAAAACATATTCAACTTTAGAATTATGAATAATTATATCACTTTACTGTGAATTAACAGCAGGGACGTATTTTAAATCATTATCCATAAATCCATAAAATATTTAGCATTTTAAACCAACAGCAGACCGACACATAGGCCTAATATTATTATTGTTGTTTTACCATATGGTTGTGAATAACAATAATAATAGCCGACTAATAGGGCTGGGCGATAATTCGATATCGATAATTATCACGATATAAAATTTTTTCGATAAAACGATAATGACAGTTCGATACTTGCTCGATAATATTTAGGCATAATGCGTCACGTTGCGCAAGCATTTTGCAGCCTGCCCTTCCGGATGCTGCACGCCGTACAAGTTTACATCCATACAGTGTTAGTTGTAGACTTAAGAGAGTAAGGGAAAAAAAAAAAAAAGAGTAAAAAAGGTCAGAGTCACAGACATTGTTGACAAGAAACGTCACTAGACCTCAGTCATGAGCTATTTAGTTTTTTGCTATCCGACACAAAACAGCAACGTACACTGCAAACTGCAAAAGCAGGCAACACCACAAGCCTGTTTCATCATTTAAAGCAACACCACCCTTATGAAGATGCTAAGAAATTACAGACCTAAACAAGTGCTGGAAAACCAGGGCAACTACCCAGCAGAGTCTCATGTCATTATTTTCAAAAGCCGTGCCTTACGAGAAAAAAACCCCGAAAAGAGACGAAAGATATGACAGACAACACAATCTCAATCACATCTGAATAAACATTTAAAGCTTGCTCTGGCTGCATTAAGGATATTTACACTACAACATTTACATTAATAAAACTAATATAATAAAGTAGCAAATTTAAACAAAATATCAAACAAAAATTAGTTAAACTCAAGAAAAGGGGACGATAGTGAAGCCACACAAAAGAAAGAAATATAACAAAACAATTCTAATTCATGCATAACCTGTTACCTCGCTAAAAACCGATGAAAAGAAAAAAAAAAGTCATTCACGGCAGTGCGCCGCATTCTTCCCTATTCTGAATAAAATAAATATAAAGATGATGTTCACCTCCCACCTGATGTCTTTAACAATACATTTTCTACGTGTTTGCAAAATGGAAGATATTTGATTCAAGGAACTGCTCTAAGCATGTATTTTTCGTGCAATGTTTGATACCGCACAGCGAATGAGAGAAAAAAAAATGTAGCATTTACCGGAAACTTAGATGCACACGGCAGGTAGCGTCAGAAAGCCGCGTGTGTTATTCCGGTCACTAAATGCGGTGAAAACCATACACGAGGTTAAAGTTTGGTTGTGGTGCTAACATGTTTACACTCAATGGTTAACTTAGTTCGATACGAACAAACGGAATATACAAAGAGCGCTGGTCGCTCACTTACCAAATCTGTAGAGACAGGACAATCACCAGCAACTAGAGCCGCGTCTTTATTAGGAGAATACTACAAGTGAATCCGGATCTCAGCGTTTGCTTGCGTTGTTAAACAATGCATTGTTAAACAATGTTCCTCCTTGGACACGTAGGTTATTGTTGTCGAGCGTCGCGTACGCTGTTAATCCATTGCGCGAGTCTGAGCTCTCACAGAGAGAAAATGAAAATGAAACTTAACTGCAGCAAAATATATAAAGCGACACTTCACGCTTGTTTTGCCAACACAACGTGGTGTGAGTGTCGTCTAAACACTGTGACAGTAATGAATATTATTGAAGTTGCACAATAGAGCGCGCTGATTGGTTTGAACCAAGCCTTACTCATGCATTAATGCATCACACTGTAAGACGTAATAAGACACACTGTGGCACAGATGCCCAGTCTGCACGCTGGAATACAACGCTATTATGTCATGACCGTGACGCAGCTTCAAAAATTCGTTTCAAACCGGAAGTACCAATTTGCTTGAAATAACGCAAAAACAACCAATTCACACTTTTTTGTGAAATATAGGTGTCCTAATAGTGTTTTTAGCAGTGTAGGACACATATACGACTGTCAACAGCTCAAAAAATGTGTTTTGGTGTTTCGTGACCCTTTAAGCACTGTGTATTGCATCTTATAAAGAGATGTGTACATACTTTGGATAGATAGCAGTCATTTTGGCAGCTGCATAGCCAGGTTTGCAGGCTCCTTCACTGAGGTTTCCATACTTGTACGCCAGATCCAGAGGCCTGCAGACAGTTATAGAGGAGAAGAAAGAAAGGACATTCGATTTAATTCGACAGGAGTGTAAATGTTCAAATCTACAGGAAATCACTATCTCAATGTGAGGTATATTGCTTTTATCTAGCCTGGCACATGATTGATGATGTCTAAAGCAGGATGTGATGGATTACTTGAAGAAACTTCATTTATAGCTGATGTATAATATAAATGAAACAGTCAAACAATAGGAATGCAACAGATTTTGCTGGCAGCACAAACAGCGAGCATGTTTACTTCATACTTTGGATCTAAAAGAATTTCCCAAGCCCAAAAACAGCTGACGTTCTGAAGGCATGCGTTTGTGGCACGAAGATACCACGGAAAGCTATTTTGACTGACCGCTCAGTTTTTTTCATCCAAGAAAAGGGGCAAAATTTGGTTACACATATTTGAACTAAACAGCACCGACGTTCCGGGTTGTTTAAAAGCAGAAATGTGGAGGACTTGGATTAATTATTCCATAAAAAGTGTTTGTTATTCAAGCTATAAAGTTGTCTACTTTTCTAGATGAATAAACATCTGGTTATGCGTGACAGAAGTTTACTCTATGCTAACAATGCATTAGAGAAAGTTATGCCATTTAGCTTAACCCTCTGGTTTACATGTAATGTTTAGAGTCTTGTGGATATGCTTTTAAAACAAAGTATTTGAATGTTTCGTGCACTAACTTTAGTGTTTAGTTCTACACTTAGTGCCTTACAGAGTTATTTATTTTCCTTTTATTAGAGTTCAGTTACAAAATAATATCTTATATGATTGTAGTAATCCATGTAAAGGGGCACTCCACTTTTTTGGACATAGGATATTTTTTTCAAGTCACCTAGAATCAGGGTTTCTACAGGTTTCATCAAGTCAAATGTAAGAAATTTTAAGACCTTTCTAAGAGCATTCTAAACTATTTCAGACTTACACAAGGCTAAATGTGAAGGTTTTTTTTTCTGATAGCCTAGTTAAAACATAAAAAACATGTTGTTGTAAAGAAGATAAACCATATTGGTAATAAATTGTTAATAAATAAAGTTTTGGTAAAACTTTTGAGATAAAATGTTAGTGATTGAATGCATGTTGTCCCGATTGGGTAGCTTTACATAGACATAGGAAAATTAAAACTTGTATAAAAATTATTTATTCATTTAATTATTTATTTAAGACTTTCAACACAATATTTGAGTAAAAATTACTTTGAAATCCTTAAATTTTGTTTTTGAAATGCAAGACTTTTTAGGACCCAGCAGATACCCTGTAGAACTGGGCTATTCAATTAGTTTGTCATGGGGACCAGTTCATGAAAAGCATCCTAAAAGGGTCGGAGAGATATGATTTGCAATATGAGTGATAACACAACAGCATATAACCCATCTGTTGTACTTTTGCTCTTTAAGACACCCATGTTGGATTTTTCTACATTAAAATTTGTATATTTTGTATTTGAAACCACATAATTTAAGTACATTGTACAATAGGCTTTTTATTTTTAACAGACATATTTAAATGTTGTATTTCAAAGCACAACAAAAGCAGTTCACTGCTTAGGTAGGCTTTTTCTATATTTAAACTCTTGTTTTGAACTGCATATCAATTATGCATATTGGCATATATTCTTGCATTGGAAATAACAAACTTGTGCACGGAAAAGACGCACTTTGTTTATGCTCTGCAGCTTTAGTTAATCCAGTGTGCGTGCGTATTAGCCTTGGAGTATAAACTCGGAACTTTGAACTAGAACGGTTATTAATGAAATCAGCTAATTGCAGCATCCCTATTAACGATATCAGTGCATTTTACAAAAGGACTTTACTACAAACATATTGAATTGTTTTTGGCTGCTTGCGCCACTCGCTTGCCAGGTGACTCACTCTCTGCTTAGCCTTCAACTACTGCTCTTGCTGTATTGAACAGATGCACGTCACTTCATAGCAGCTTTTTTTTGACTAAACTAAATTTATTTTTGATGGTCACACTGTTTGGGGAGCCGGAACAAATTGCCTTGAGGCCCAAGTTCGACCCACAGGGCTTCCAATTGAAAAGCCATGCTGTAGAGGTTACCACATTTTACACATTTTTAAATACATTCAACCGATCTCTTGGTCTGGAAAGAACACTTTTAGCTTAGCATAAACTATTGAATTGGATTAGCCCATTAGCATCTAACTCAAAAAAAAAAATATATATATATATATATATTTATATATATATATATATATATATATATATATATATATATATATATATATGTGTTTTGATAATTTTCCTATTTAAAGTTTGACGTTTCAGTAGTTCCACCGTGTGATAAGACTGACAAAAATGAGAGTTGCTATTTTCTATGTCAACATGGTTAGGAGCTAAAGAGTTCAGATGCAAAAGCTGCTAACGCCACTTCTGCCAAAAATGAGCTAATGACATTGAGCGAATGAGAACCAATCAGAAGACACGAATCGAATCATATGTCTCAATTTAGCAGCGTGCTGATACGCCGGCTTTATGAGGAGACTCTTTTAATCTGCTTTCGATTCGATTTTAAAAGATGGTGTTTGATGAACTGCATGAGCCTGTCCGACTGTCAGTGAATGGCAAATGGAAATGTCCCATACCTCAAATTTCCACAAAAAAAGAAAACACACTGTACAGTCGGAAGTGTAACATGCATTCATAATGAGTCCAATTTGCTATACATTAAAAAGCAACTTTCATAAAAGGCGAAGTTAAGATGTCGTTCTTTTATTGCACATGGGTGCCATGAGGATAAACAAGAGACGAATAAGAGACCAAGACCTTGAATATGGTGAGAATGAATGAATGACAGCTTCTAAAAGTATCTGAGACATCCCCTTTTTGTCCAGCAGGCCTACCTTGGGTTTTATTCACTAATTTAAGCAATTTTTTTTAAGAGATGGGTATAATATATAAAAAAAAATACATTGTTTATGATACTTCATAATACCTATACGAAGTATAGCATTCCGCTCGTTAAGTGTGACGTTACGCGAAGTGGTTTCCGGGTTTAAGCGCTCTATTTAACTGAATGGGGAGACTCGTGAAATGGTAATAATAAACATTTACAAAGCGATTTGATACTTTCGAAAATCAAGATCGCAATATATGGCCATGCCTAATATCGAATGGCCAGAAAGTTAGGGTGCTTTCACACCTGTGAATCGATTCAGTTGTTCCGAAACAGAGATTAAAATTGTTACATTGTTCTTTGCTCTTGGAGTGGTTCGCTTTCACACTGCAAAGTTTCTAATCGGACCAAAAGAGCTAAAACAAGTCACGTGTGAGTAAACTCTCCTCACATTGGTCAGAGTGTCAGGGTTTATTTTGCAGCGTCCCGCTCAGCTGTCAGGAGAGATGGTGGTTTGGTGGTGATTGACAGGGTGCGCGCGCATGACGTGTCTGAGGAGAGACACGATGGGGAGGGGTGAGAAGGGTGCGCGTCGATGCCTATTTGAGGACTGGGAGAGAGACGCGAGATTACCGGGAGATCATCACTCGTTTGCGGGCGTCCGGAGACTCTCAAAACTTTCCGCCCTACTCATAATTCTCTCTTCATATAGCCGTATGCCGTATTACATATCCATAAAACACTGTAATATAACCGCGCTCGGATCGGATCGCTTTCTCACTGCAATCGAACCGCTCCAGGGTTCGTTTCAATCGAGCCGAGACCACCTCACTCAAGCGATCTCGGAGCAATTACTTTGGCGCGGAACAGAGTGCGATTGCCCTGTTCACATATGCCAATCGAACCGCGCTAACTGGGCAAACGAGATACGTTCCAAAACAAAAGTGTAGGTGTGAAAGCACCCTAATTCATTTTTTCATAAATTGTTAAAATTTTGGTATTTGTGATGCAGCAAGCCAAGAGATTGTTGTGTACACTATGAATTTATATAAAATTAACTTGAATGTGTGATAAGAATAAAAAGTGAGCATCAACAAATGATTTCTCAACTCAAATGAGTGGCGGCTTGGACCCGGAAACAGTATTACATACGTCACCAATACATCACCACTTAACAAGCGGATACCTAATGTCTGATAAGCTTTTATATTAATGGACAATGTACAGATATTGATGTTTCAAAATGTTTTTACACTACATTATTTCAATCTAACAAGCTTAGTTTACAATGTTTACAGTTTTTACATTGCTCTACTTTATTTTTTATTTATTTATTTATTTGACATGGACATCACAATTACACTGGACAACCAAATGCATTTGTTTAAGTGATTTAGCAAACTTGCTAATTTTCAACACCTGTCCACAGGGGGCTTAAAATTGACAAAATAGAAATAAAATAAAACATACAAAACATTACAATTTACAAATTTCTTTACATAAAATTACTGCAGGCAAAAGCAAAGGTGACATGATCCAACCAACTAACAGTAGACTATTTGTGCAAACACTGCTGTTTTGTTTTTAACCACTTTTTAAGAGTCCTACTAAAAATATTTAGATTACTTCCTGATTTTAAGCTAACCGGTAAATCATTCCACAGTTTGGCTCCCTTTACAGAGAAGACAGATTGACCAAACGAGGTCTTACACTTTGGCACTAGACAGTCACCGTTAGCAGTTGCCCGTGTAACTCTGTGGGAGGTTTGATGCCGATTGATTAGCTTAGAAAACAGGATTGGAACATGATTATTTAAACATTTAAAAACCAATTTAAGATAACTTAATTATTTAATTATTTCATCTATTTAATTAATGTTCATTTTAATGTTATTGATTTATGCACTTGACAGATTTCAGTTATTCATTTTTCTTTTGGCTGGTTTATCAGGTGTTACCACAGCGAAATGAACCACCACTTACTTAACAGATTTATGTATTTTTATTTTAGGTGGTTTGTGTAATGGGTTTTATGTTTGGTAAAATAATTTAGAATTGCAACTTTAGTGTTTTTTTTTTTTGTTTTTTTTTTGTAATAAATACAGTGTCTTGTCCAAAAGAAAGCACAAGTAGATTTAGCTGGTTTTGACGCGAAAGAGAAAATCTACCTTGTTAAATTGATGATATTGAAAAATGATATTATTGAAAAGAAAAATTATTTACCAGCAAATGACCATTTTATTATATATAAAATGAAACTTCTGAACCTTCTGTAAATACAGGAGCCTGATAGAAAATGCTCATATTCAAGAAAAGAGGTCAGATGGATTTAGAGAGTTTTTGCATCTGAACTCTTCAACTATACTAATTTTGGAGTAATGATTAAGAAACTGTGCTGCAAACATTGCTGCATAAAACGCAAAATAACTGTTACATTTTTTTTTTTTTTCGAGTGCCTTGGACAAATTTTTGCTGTTTATTCTGATTAATCCCTTTCCCAAAGAGCACCGACACACTATTTAAGGTACCCCTGGGCACTTTTTGTTTGACTTTGTTTTTTTATTAAAAATCTTTTTTTTTTAACTGAGATGCTAACGGTCTGATCTGATAACATGATTTATGCTAAGCTAATCTAAAAGTGCACCCGTTTGGAGATCAAATGAATGGATTGAAAAATAATAAATCTGTTTTACACTAGGGGACTTGTAAATTGAGTCTACTCCCAAAAAAAGTGGAGTGCTGCTTAAAATGGAATGAGGGAGCAGACAGGCTCCTACCACGTAAAGTGAGCAACATCATTAATAACCTGTAGCTCACACCGAAAGCAATTCAAATAAACAGGTGGGGAGGACGCAGGTCAGGTCTGAGAGGCCAGTAAATGTGCGCAAAATGCACTAAAGTGCCCAGATAGAATAGCTATAGCTAATGAATAATAGTATCTAATAAAAAAAACTATCATAATACAAAATAATAAGTAGTGTGAAAACAAATGACGAGTTCAGATGCAAAAAAACTCAGCGTTGTCTAAAATTTCCATCAAAAATAAATTTTATCAGCCTCCTTTGTTTATGTTGAAACATTGCATTTTAAAGATCAGGAAAAGCATTTATTCGATCTCTTTAAAGTAATACTACTGAACATACACAGGAGTCTGGAAAGAATGCTCATTTTGTAGGAACATTTCAGATGGCATTTAGGGGTTTCTGCATCTAAACTCTTCAAATGCTTTAGCATAAAACAGCACACTAGTTAAACAACATTAGCAAATGGGATTACTATAATGGAATACGGTCTAATCTCAATATTAAAATCAGTAAAATCAGAGTTTACAGCAAAGTTTTCAACATCAACATCACAACATCCTACCCTAAATGGCTTTTCAACAGTTAGAATAAAAGCCACAAGACACTTATTTGCCATAGCCTTCATGTTGATAAAGTAGTTGGCCCAATGGGACCGTGTCGTATTTTGTTGTCGTGACAGCTCCGAGTCTTTAAGCAGCAGAGCGGATGGTGGATTGAGGCCAGCTGAATGATGAAGTGCACCACACAGACAGTTTTTGCTCACAGCGTCAATGAAATCTAAACCTGTCGAAGGCTTTGCTTATTGTACGTGCGCGTGGTGTGGACAGACGTGTCTTCTCTGATGCTCAACACTGAGAAATTAGGGCGAGGTGAGAGTCTGAGAGTTTGGCCGCTTCAAAGATGAAATGTAAACATATACCTACCACACACAGACCTATAATACATCACACGAGGTTGCTGGAATAGATTTCAAGACACTAATGGCACTGAATGGAGTCAAAAGCTTTTAATGCTTCAGTCTTAGCACCCAATATTTTCTTTATATTTCACCATGAAGGTTACAATCACTTGATCTATTGAAAAGTACATTTTGACTATTTTTAAAGGGTAAGATTTATTTTTATTATTATTTTTTAATTGAGCCTTTTAGAATGAGTAACAAATCAATATTATTTAATTAGCAAGGTTATGCTAATTGCCTACAAATTTAAAGTACCTGTAACCTCATATATGTGACCCAAGACAGGAATAAGTGTTTTTTTTTTTTGTTTTTTTTTAATCGAGACTTTTACATAATCTGTAAACCGAAATGGTAAGACTTTAGAATAACTATCCGTTATAACTAGTTAATAGTCCATTAATAAACTGTTAGTTAATGGGTTATAAATGACTTTTTAAATAAAAGTTAACAGTTTGTTAATTATTTATAACTGTGCCTTATAGATAGCCATTAGATAACTTACAAGCTGTTAGTTAAGTTCTAAATGACTTGTTAACTGTATTTTAATGATTTACATTTATACCTAATACATTAGTAAAAGATCATAAACAAACTAGTAAATTACCTACTAAAGACTTGTTAAGTATCAGTTGTGAGTTTATATATGCTATTGGGATGTTATTGTAAAGTTGCAACTAGTCTTCATTTATTAACTTAGTAAATGAGGAATAGTTGCAACTTTAGAACAACGTCCCAGAGACATACTTAAGCTAATAACCAACACTTAACTAATACATGAACTCACACTTTACAGACCAGTTGTTCATAGTTTGTTAACCATCTACTAATACCAGTGAAACTTCGTAGAACAGGAAATGGATGGAACAAGTTACAGAAATTAGATGTGATATTTAAATTGTAAAACTTTTGTACCTTTACCTTGTTCCACTCATAGGCTTTTCTGTGTGCTGCATTTTACCAGAGAAACTCCACAGATGAAATGTTGAACATTGTATTGAATGTATAGAAACGCACATACTGAGCCATCACATGGCAGAACAGCAGTATACAACAGAATACAAACCCATGAGGTTTGGGCACTTTTTGTGCTAAACATGAAAACAAAATCAATAAATAAAAATATTTTATTAAAAAAGTTCTACAAAGTTGTAGTGGTGTTATTAGATGTTAAAAATAACTATAAACAACTGTTCTGTAAAGTGTTAGTTAATATATTTTAAGTGTTAGTTATTACCTTACATATGTTATTGGGAGGTTATTCTAAAGTCCCAACTGTTCCACATTTACTTACAGTTAATAAATGAAGAATGGTTGCCACCAGAATAACTTCCTGATGGCATATATAAACTATTAACAGATACTTAAAAGTCTTAAGGAAATGATGTACTAACAGCTTGTTCTTGATCTATTACTAATTTATAAGGTATAGTTATAAATCATTAAAATACAGTTAAAAAGTCATTTACAACTTGTTAACTAACAGCTTGTGAGTTATATATTGTTAGCTTGATAGTTATCTATAAGGCACACTTATAAATAAATAACAAACTGTTAACTTTTATTTAACAAGTCATTTAAAGCTCATTAACTAACAGTTTATTAATGGACTATTAACTAGTTATACCGGATAGATAAAAATAGTTAACAAACTAATAACTATTATTTAACAGGACATTTTTAACTCAATAACTAAGTTTATTAATGATCTATTTGCTAGTTATACAAAAGTGTTATTCTAAAGTGTTACCAAATAAACGATAAAATACAGCAATCACAACGTGTATCAAAATAAAATACAGTGTTTTGTATTTTCAAAATACTTTTGCAAAGAAGCATGACATTTCTTCCTTGCAAATCTAGACTTTGTGAAGTAAACAGTGTTTGATAGCAAATGTGGTCAGTAAAATTACCTTCATCTCTGTACATTGATTATTCAACCTTTTAATATTTTATATGGCTTTTAAATAAAGAGGTTATTAAAAATGTTTGTTCACAGAATTTGAGAAATCTTTTTTTTTTTTTTTTTTTTGCTTGAGTAAAAACTGTATAAGTACTGTATGTGTTTTTGATTATTTAATATTTGTGTTTTATGCTGTGACAATTTAAGGCTTTCATCTTTACTATTTGGACCTACTGATCAAATACTGGATGTATTGTTATGTTGTTTGTTTTAACGACAAACATTTGGCCTTAGCAATCCATCCAAAACTACCATTATTTGTAGAGTATACTCTTTCTTCTAAGATTTTTCAATTCTTGTTTTTTAAATGGAAGAGTCAATAACATCCAAAGCAACAGGGGGGTGCGTTTAAATGATGTAGATTTTAAACAAAGTATTTTATAGCATTTTGAAAATACCAAAATACAATACTTTTTTTTTGATACCGTTTATTTTGATACACCTAAAAGTAAGGTATTTGGTATTTCATTTTAAAATGCATTTTATATATTTTTGACCAACCCTGGTTATGTCCATATATGTAGACAATATGTGGCCAAGACACACTATTTGAAAATCTGAAGGCATTCAGATCTGAAATCTGAAATCTGTGGTTATAAAAAGAATAAATATGAAACAAACTGTAATAAAAATGAATAGAATATCAAAAAGTTAGATTATTTTTCTCATTATTTGTTAAAAAGAATCCAGAGAATACTTACAGCTTTGTGTCCAGATTCAGCATGAACCCTTGCTTATCAAACACTGTGAAAAGAAATAGAACAATTACCATCAGTTCAGACGATCACAAGCCAAACAAACAAACAAGAAAAGTGTAGATCCTCACTTGTTATGCCATCATCATGTCAAAATGCAACTGTGGTGAATTTTGAGAACATTAAAGATGTTAATGTTTAAGTTAACAGTCATACAGATCTCACGGTTACATCTAAAAGATTTTAGTCTAAATAGAAGCAGCAGCAAACATTAGATTAGACCAGCCAAAACATTCCACAGTTCAGCTGGGAAATCAGGTTAAAAAGCAGCTTTCCACCTATGCGGGCTTCATTAGACCATAGGTGTCTATGAGGTGTCAATGAAGCTAAGCTTTGAAAAAGAAGAGAGGAAAAATAAAACAGAAAAGGTGAGTGAGAGGAGGAAAAAATTAATTTAAAAAGCTGTAAATCAAAACATGTACGCCTACTTCGTTTCTTCTAAACAATAAAAACAGACTTTACGCATGCTTACGTTGACAGCGTGAGCAATGCAGCACAGCTAAAAACGAACGAACATTAAACAGAAAAGCCAAAGAATTACAAAGCAGATTGAAAAAAATAAAGCACTGATGAACAGGTAAACAGTAATTCAGCTGCTACACATTCTCATTAGCAACACTTGTGGCATTCTCAGCGTCAGCATTGCTAATCATATGGCACTAAGGCATGGAAAAGGAGAGTTTGAGAACTCCGCGGATGCTCAAGTCTCCCGGCAGATGCTGCAGAATGGAGAGGAGGAACTGGTTAAAAAAAGGTGACCACTGCTGAAACTAAAAGGGAAGGTTTAGCAGATGCTATTATTCACAGCAGCCTGCAGTTGGCGTTAGATGCTCCAACTGGGTCTACGGTGTAGTCTTGTTCTACATAGCGGTAAACCCTCACCAGCAAGAAAACCCTGAACCTTTTCATATGCTGGACCATGTTTTCTTTTGCAGTTTAAAGTGGGTTTGAACACACACACACACACACAATAAAAATAAAAATAATAATCTAAGGTTATGAGTGTGTCCCAAATCGCATACTAATGCACTATTCTACACCAATTTGTAGTGTAAATAGTGTATGTAGTGCGTTCACACTGAAATATTTGTTTTGTTCCTAAATGAATAAGTGCACTTTAAGTACCTGGATGATGAAGTTACTTAACTGTTAAAAACCCTCGCAGCTTATCCCTCGCCCATAAAGCAGAAGGGACGGAGCTTTCGGGCACTGATGTTCGATTAATTAATTTATTTTGGATTGTGAGAGCAAAATTCTTCTATGAGAGTGATTATAGCACCTCCCGATGTTGAATGCAGTTATACTCCAAACAGGTATTATTTGGTAGTTTGGTCATCGAAATTTAGCGACCGTCACACGTCATCTGGGAAATGGTTTGAATTTCCGCTTAGTAAAAAAACGTTAGTGTTGTATCTGAATAACACTACATTTATGATGGGCGTTAGGCAGGAGTGATCATGTAGTGAAGTCCGGGGAGAGGGGGGTTTATAGGTGATTTATCATGAATAGAAGAGGGGGGGTGTTCTTGTGATCACAAAGTGAAGAGCAGTTGGGGGTGGTGGGGGGTGTTTGATTGCAAAGTGGAGGGTGGGGGGGGGTGATTTTTTTTTTAATTTTATTCTCCACCTACATGGAAAAATCAAATGATAAATGCTAAAGGCACCTCAAACCAACAGGTGGCGATTAGGCTAGGGAAGATAACCGTTTTCAAGGTATACACTTTTATGCAAGGTTCACACCAAAAGGGACAATAGGCCTGCGTAACATTGGAAAAATCGGACATTGCGATATTTTATATTGCTGCGATATATATTGAGATATGAATATAATTTCACTAACAGAAGTCAAGTACAGAAATTGAACAATCAAACAAAAAATTGTCGCCTCGGAATTATAAGGTTCTGCCTGCGTTCTGAATGATTTTGCGGTATTGAGATTTTTGCATCCCATATAGCAAAAGGTATGTGTAACATTTGTTGTTTTAAATAACATCTCTTAAAATGTTAACAACTTATAAAAAAAAAACATTCCAAAATTTTATTAATTTATCATTTAAAAAGAATATGCCAATAACTAAATTAACAAAAATGTCAGATAGAATCTTATAATTCTAAGTTGATGAAATAATAGGGTCGTCTATGTATGATTTAGAAATAATCATATGTTTATTTTTTAATCTTTAATTGTAATCTAATTCTGAAATGTGACTTTTGTGGATACACACATTGCGATATCAATGCTCAAATGATATATTGTGCAGCCCTTTGGGAAATTAAGTATTTTTGTGAATAAACTTCATACAATTCAATGCAATTCAATAGCATCACTGCTATTGACATCTATTTAATTGCAATTCAATATAATATCATTTATCGGCCCAGCCCTACTTGTAATCTAGTAAAACATTATCACAATCGCACAAGGCTCTGTGGAAAATGTAAAGACTAAATGAAAGTATTTTTGTCTTAAAGATTCGTGGAAGACAACATTAAAAATAATTGTGGTTTTACAATAAACAACGCTGCCAAAAAACAAAACACTGTGCCTTTGTAAAAAAAAATCTGCTATGCAATAATTGTAATTATTGTTCCATTAACAGAGGTATCACATGTACATGATGCATATCTGTTGTCAAAGCTGCCATTTTGTGTTAATTTTACATTCTAATTTTATGAAAGAAAAAATGAAATAAAACAAAATAAACACCGCAAACACGTGCTTTTGGCGCTGCTGTTGCAGATTTGTTTGTGAGAATGGTTATTGAATAATGTCCAATGATTTCCAATGATTATTGTTAATGGTTTATTTATGCCATCATGCACTCATGTGACTTTCACCAGCAAATAAATAAATAAAAGGTGCAGTGATGACGGAGATTAAGACATTACTACTTTATTGTGCTTATGGTTTTGCGCATGTGCAAGTACACTGAATTGGCATGAATGAATAAATATTTAACCTGCTTTTTTAAAACAAATAATTAATGCAGGAGTGCATTTTTAAAACAGTCAGTAGATAACAGTGGGAAACTACATATATTTGTGCAGTATGCAGACATTTACATTAGATGTCGCCTGTGCTGTTGTTGTCTATTGGAAGAAATGCTCCTTTGAAATGAATGTGGAACCAAGCTGTAGTGGAGTACTGGCCAACCGGAGCCATAGATATGTAAACATTTATACATCTATCTATGATCGGGAGTTTTCCTGGTGGTCAGTATGCAAATATTATTTAAAACTGCAAAAATGATAGTTTTCCATCACTTTTCTACATTAATAGACATGTGACCGCCTGGGCATTGCCGACAATGAACATGTGTTGGTGTGCACGAAAATGTATCATCCTTCCTACCTGTTAAAGTTTACCAAATCAGTGTCCTGAAACAAACTTCCTCTCCCGCTTTGACTTCTAATGCTAACGGAGGGAGCGATTCGTTTGCGAAAGAATCCCTGTTATGAACGACTCTTGTGAACAATCAATATCCCTGTGATAACCATCCACATTTCCACTTTCTGATCTATAGGGTATATAACATTTGTAATATTTAATAATTTAGAGTGGACAGTATGCACATTATGGCGCAGGCACTGTTATGTTATCAGACATAAGTTCAAAAACTAACATTCTTGAACTTAGCAGACAAAAATTCAAGTTCAGTTACATTTAATTTACATTGTTTGCTGATTTTATTTAACAAAATTAGCATAAGCCTAGAATTTAGTGCAAGTTGGTGCTACCTTGCCTTATGATCAGTCAGTGCAGTAAGAGGACTGTATTATCATCAATACTTGTGCAGCACAAAAGTTCGTAACAAACAAAACATAAAAAAACTAAATCTTACCTATGATATGTTATGCATTTATGATTTGTTTTCTTTGTTTGCTTGTTATTATACCCATACGCAGCGCAAAAGTCCAGCATCTTGAGATTGGCTTTAGTCTCGAAGAAGTACAATTGAATGGCATTTGTCCTGGGAGCACTGTGCAAATGTGGCGGCGCTATTGACGCATGCTCACGGTCTGTATGCAATATCTAGTGTATGTATCTAAGGTATGCAAATGCCAGATAATCAAATTAATGCATATTATTTTAGGGATTTTCCTAGTCATTTTTGTGTTGGCTAGGTTTCCATCAAAAAAAGAAAAGTATCCTGTAGGGAGTTCTTGGTTAAAGCTGCAGTACAGGCTGTCAAAAAGTTAAATACGCTAGCTTTGAAAAGATATATAATTATAACAATTGAATTAATATATTCTTTTTAATAACCACATTAAGTTTTTTTATGGATATCTTTGGATCATTTCATCGTTTATGCTTACATTGGCCTCTTCAAGCTCAAATATGTTAGGGAAAGGCTTATTTTTGGCACAAAGAATGACAATATCCACTGTAAATGAATGTAATTTACTGTCTGTTGAGATTACAGCCCTGAAACCTTTTCAAATGAGATTGGGGGGGATTTTTGGTAATAAGTCCCTTTCACACCATGCACCACATACAAAACTGAAGTTTATCACATGTATAATATCATTTAAAAGGTTTGGTCTTAAAAAAGTCTCTTTAATACATTTTATTGCCTTAATTCCTTTATTTGACCATTTATTCATTTATTTTCCTTTGGCTCAGTCCCTGATTTATCAGAGATAGCCACAGTGGAATGAACCACCAACTACTCTGGCATATGTTTTACGCAGCGGAAGCCCTTCCATGATTTGAAAGTGATTTGACCAGAAATTCAATCCTTTAACTATAATTACTAATTAATATAACAAATTTCTATTTTTATTTTAAGATAAATGTAACTGATTGCAAAGCTGACCTTTCAGTAGTCATTACTTTAATCTTCATCTCCACATGATCCTTCTTGAATGCCCATTTTGTGTTCAAGAATAATTATTATATATCTTTATGCTTTTTTTTTTTTTGTTATTTGGAAAACAAGATGCATATTCTTTTGATGTGAAAAAGCCTTTCCATGTGTAATGAATAGGAGGACATTATCCCAGAACAACCAGATCTCCTATAATAGCAGCTGGGGGGGTTTGATGTTGACCAGAGTGCACTCTTTGCTGTAAGGCTGTACCTGAGCCTACTATTCGTCCCACGGAGACTGCGCCTTCCGCCACCGGCTCTGAAACACAAGACCATCAAGTTAGGCCCACTGCTTTTGTCCTTCTGGACACAATCTTCTGGAAATGCTGAATGACCCCTCAGGCCAAACCCTCAATTCCCAACCTATTCCAAAACAGCAGTAGCTAGAAAGTTTGCATTAGTTCCAGGAACTGCAGGTTAAAGAAAAGTGCAGGGTGCCCATCACCGTTATTCCCAGCTGATAGCACTGGTGCCTGTACAGGAAAATTCTGATTATTTAAGAAAAGAAATAAAAATAAAAAACCAGACCCCAGATCGGGTGTTATTACGACGTGTTAGTGCCCACCGGCGAGCCCATTGATTATTTCACCAGTTCCCAATAATCGCCATAACAAAAGGAGCGGTGGAGAGTTTCTACCTTTTGTCACTGTGGCTCTGACAGCAACACTAGTTACTTTACTGACATTTACTGTGGACTCCACATCTTTATCTGTGAAACAAAAGGAGTTGTAATTAGCAGACCTGCTAAATTATGCACAGTCACACTGCATTTAGTAATGAAGGTAAATAGTTTGAACGGGCACATACCACAAACACACATTAGCATACTGTGCCTAGTTTTCAATGCACTACACACACCATTTTTTTCCAATACAGGAAACACTTTGCAAGACTAACCATATATATATAATATATTAACTACAATTAACAACATAGCGTACAATAAATTAGGAGATATGAAGGCAGAAAAATAAATAGATAAAAAAAAAAATAAATAAATAAATAAAAATAAAAAATAAAAAAAATCACAAGATAAATTTGACAACACTGAAGAGATAAATTGCACTTTATTATTTGTATTAGAAAATATTTCATTATAATTGCAATGTCTATTACTAATTTAACAATTAATACATTTTATGCGCTTGTTAAGTGTGACGTCACACAAAGCAGCTTCCGGGTCCAAACACTATATTAAACTGTATGGGAAGACTCAACAAATGGTACTAATAAACATTTACAAAGAGCTGTAATACTTTCAAAAATCATGATCGCAATATATATCTCCGTGCCTAATATCAGATAACCAGAAAGCGATTATTTTTTTATTAATTATTGAAATATTGGTGTCTGTGATGCAGAGAAGTCCAGAGATTGTCATGTAAACCATGAGTTTCTATAAAATTCACTTTAATGTGTGATATCACTAAAAAGTGGTCATAAAAGATTATTTTCTCTATTCAAATGAGTAGCTGCTTGGACCTGAAAACAGTATTTCATATGTCACGACTTAACAAGCGGATAAATGAAGCAATTTTAATTTCAGACAAACACAAAACGAGCATAATTCTGTATAAGGCTGGGTGATTTGACGTTAAACAAAACAGATTAATTTGATTAACTCACTTTTCCTTGTTGTTTCGATTATAAAATGACTCTTTTATTTTAAAATGCAATGGTTTATGTTCTCTCAAACAGCTTTGCTGGTGTGAAAATGCAAAAGGTTTGTGTGCTAGCCTTTGAATCAGCACTGTTCCAGTCACAGATAAACCGGCAACAAAGAATTTGATTAACATGCAGCTAGCTTCTATCAGAGAATGGATAAAAAGTGAGTTTTTAGCATGTCAAATTGCTGCACATATGCAAGAACAATGCTCTCAGTGAAACTAGGATCAATGGGATTAATCGAACCAAATCGCAACCACAATTTTAATTTGTCACAATTGGCTAAATCGCAAGAGGCTGAATTATGAAATATATCAAATGCGTGACTGCTGTCTGTATGTGACAGTTTTACTATCCAAGTAAGTGAGCACACTTTTGTTCTGACCAATCCCAATTGCGCGACTAAACTATGCAGAACGCACACAATAAAACAAACAAACAGGAAATCGCGGACAAGTGGGATGATGGTGTCTGCCACTTCAGAAGCATTAACAGACAAATTCATATCAATGAAAAACAGCATGTCGGTAATATGGGAATAGTTTTGTTTTAAAGTCACAGACACTTAAGCTCTCAGTTTTTTAACACAAGATTGTGTATGTTTTCAAAGAGATGGTATTAAAAACAATAACTAGGATTTAGATTTTGTTTCAGCCCTAATTCTGTATATTTTCAGAATATAATAAGACCAGGGGTAGAAGCAAAGTCTGAAATAAAAACCATTTATACTGCAGTATTCCAGTATTTATAAATGAATTATTTATGCATAAAAATTTTTAAGGTAAATAATGGATTTGCCTATGAATCTTTAGTAATAATAGCTTTCCTCACTCTTCTCTTAAGATGTGTTTACTATTGAGATAAGACAAAAATCTGTCACTCACATATGAACAACTAACGGCAAACCTTAAACATTCAACTGTATCAAATAAAACGAGTGTAGTTACCTCAAAATTGACTGAAAGCTAATTCTACTCATTTGAAAATTTGAGTTTTGAACTTTTCAGTGTTAAAGGGTTAATTAAATACCTCATTACTTCAACTCAAGTGTATTAACTTCACAGTACTCGTATAGATAAGTTTTTAAAATGGTTTGTAGCAATCGACTTCCTCAAATAGTTTGAGTTGTCTTAACTTATTGGGTTTTACAGTATTCAGTTAGTTTGAGTTCTGTTCATTTATTAGGTTTAACTGTGCTCAAATTTGCTTCGTTTACTCAAATGGATTAAGTTCACGGAACTCATTGGGGTTCATTTTCTTGTTTGAATTGCTATTTTTTTTATCAGTATCACAATTAAGAAGCTTTTAACAACTTTTGTGTGGCGACTTTTACAAATTTAAACCATAAAATACACAAATTCACTGATTTATACCATGTTGAAGCTTATGACCAGTGCAGACATGGTGTAATAGTTTAGAAAAGAACCTGGATCTGGGCATTTTCTCTCTTTCCTCCCTGCAGACTCTCTATGAATCAAATACACATGATACCTGAAGAGCATCTGTAAAATAAAACAAGTCTTCAGGCTGCACAGACTCTAAGAAGATGAAGTCAAACTCACTGAACTTTGAGGCCTCCTGGCACACAGCTTTCAAAATAAAGCAAAATGTATTTACAGCTAGAGAGGCTTTATAAGGAGCATCCAGGCAAAAATCACATTTTTTAAATTTACAAATGTTTTCACGTTGTACCATTTGGTAATTATGTGTTTGAGTAACTCTACGGCAATCAAATCAACAGAGCGCTGGGTTCTTGCCCTCTCTTTGTCATTTATCATCAAAATAGGGTTGCGTTTCCTTCCCTCGTACCCTTTTCAGAGCCATTTATTGTGATTTGTCTTTACAACATGTCCTAAAGTGGCTTTCATAACACTGGTTAGGTTCAAAGAAACCCATCCCAGGTTCACAAAATTTTCCAAAATAAACTGGGCGCAGCTGTCGAAATGTGCCGTTTATAATTAATCTAACTTTTTTTCCACTTTTTTTTTTTTTCCACAGAGGTTCAAGATACCAAAGGCAAACACGAATTGAACAAACTGAGAATAACTTGCTTGCTGAATGCTAAATAATCTATGAGACTGTACATGGGGAGGAGAATGAAGGAAGAAACCTGCCAAATCCATTTCCTCAGCTGCGTTTCTGAGAGCCAATAAGAAACCATCAATCAATAAAACTTCAAAATAATTGCAGCAACCAAATACTTATTTGCCTCATCGCGGGTCCACAGCACAGATTCTTTTCCGCAGGGAGTGAAAACACTTTCTTCTCTCTTATCAAGTAGAACATCCATCATTTTTGCACTATTTACACATTTCGGGCCCCTTTGCAGATCAGGAACACGGGGACCGTTCTGACTTGTCTGCACCAGGACTGACCCGTTTTCTAAGAGCGTGCTAAAGTACTTTAGTGTTAACGTTGGACATGATAAACATTCTGCTGTGGTAGTGGTGTGTGTGTGGACTGGAGCTGCTTTTCCAATAGCTCTGATTTTCTCACATTTTGAATGTTAAAAATGCAGAAAATGGAACCCGATATTAAACGTATCATTTCAGAGGCAGCGTGTAAACGTTACTGACACAATCTGAGATCTTATTTATTCATTTCAACTTGTAAAAACTTTGGAGTGTGAAATAAACTTCATTAGGCACTAATAGCTGCTACTAATACAGTGTTTGAGCCACTTTTACCATTAATTCTTAAGCCCCACTCACACCAGTATAGCGTCTTTATCACTGCTTGTCACCAGTTTTTTTTCAGAGGGCATTACCCCTATTGGATGCATCGATGCATGTGATAATGATGTTGACTAAGCACTGCTACACTCTGCAACATTAGCCAAGATTTGATTATTTTTAGACAACTATAATCCCACCCTAAAATCTGTGATCTGTAATCGTTGGTTTCACATAATCACATACATCGGATTAATGGCTGTTGCAATCAAATGTTCCCTGCAATGAAGTTCTGGAGGTGTCAGAAGGTTTCAGACCTTTTTTTGCACTGTGACTTCAGCTGCAACCAGTGTCAATCCAAGAACCAACACATCATCAGTGCCACAACCACCAAAAAGAATTGTTAAATGAAAATTCTGTGTGAGATTTCAGGTTGGATTTTATGTGATTTACTATTTCCGGTTTCCCCCACAAGTCTAAAGACATGCGCTATAGGTGAATTGGGTAGGCTAAAAAATTGACCTGCAGGAATTTTGCCACTTTAGTTCATTCATTAATTTTCCTTTGGCTTAGTCTGTTTAGTTCACCTATAGAGCACATGTTTGGACTGTGGAGGAAACCACAGCACCCAAAGGAAACCGACACCAACACAGGGAGAACATGCAAACTCCACACAGAAACGCCAACTGACCCAGCTGGGACTCAAACCAGCGACTTTTTTGCTGGAAAAGGCGTCCTGCTCATAGTAACCATTCCTCTCTGACCCTGGGCCTTAACTTGTTCTTGGGTTTTGCTTCTTTGCTTCTGGTTTTACACTCAAAAAATGACTTTTTATGGTAACTTAATCGATTTGTGTTGGGACAGCATGAAAGGAATTGTGTAGAACTGCTGGACACCATAAAAGAGCAAGTAAACCTATTTCTGTAACACTGACAAGTTGATTTACTTAAAAAAAATCTGTTTTAACTTAGCAGTTAAGTTCACTTAAGGTTTATAAATATGCACATAGAATAAAAATTAATTCACATAGAATAAAAAAATAATTCATAAATATTTACTTCATAATTTAAAGGCAATAAATATGCTCTGTTTTTCAACTAAAACTTTCTACTTTTTACATTGTGGGTTCCACACAAATCCTTCATGTTGTCCCAACACGAATCAATTTAGTTTCCTTAATTTATTTTACAAATTTAAGTGGATTGAATAAAAAACACTTAAGTTGTCACAAACATTTTTGTTGTGTTGATTCAGTTAATTTTAAATAAGAAGTTTGAAACATCTGCTATATATATATATATACATAAAGATATTATTATTTTATTTTTATTTTATTTATTTTTATTTTTTGAGTGTTTTTTTACTTTCAGGT